GACAGGACACAGGTCCCCAGCACCTGCAGTCAGCAGCTGTCCTGCAAGGGGATAGCGAAAGCTGTGCTCAAACCTAAGCCTGGATCACGTATTTATGCAGATTTAATTTCACGCTAAGAAAATCTGCCGACCACCACCCAGAGCTGAGGCTGTACAGTGCAGCTGCTTAACGAAAATACCTTCCCTGTGCTCAGGCAACAGCAGAGGTGGTCAGTGAGGAAACCCGCCTGCTGAAGACAACCCCTTTGAAGGCAGCTCCTCATCATTTTAAAGTAATTCCTCCCCTCAGCATGTCCCCACCCCAGGCGCTGCGGCCAGCCCCTTCGCAGCACCCAGGGCAGCCGCCATTGCTTCCTCTACCTTGGTCCTCCACAGTCGTTAGCAGAAAAGCCTCTGGGACACGGGGGGAGTGGGCTAACCACCATGTAACCCCACCAGGGGAAGCCCCAGCCCCATCCCAACTGCCACCACGGGTCCCAGCCCCTCAGAGCCACCCTCAGGGACATGGTGCCTCGGCCCTGGTGGGCACAGGTGCCCCAACCGTGTCTGTGGCTCTGCTTGTGGGGTGGCAGGGGCGTACTCAGTACGGCTGGTGTACTCAGTACGTTTTGGCCAGGACATAAAGCCAGCAAGAAGCACCCACGTGAGCTACGGTCGCAGCAGCCCTGTGGTCCTGCAGCATACCTGCAGGGGACGTGGCCCCGGTGAGGGGGAGCCAAAGGTGGCCGTGTACCTGGGGAAGGATGTTTTCATCAGGCTGGATGCTTTTGAGAGCAGTCTCTCCCCGCTCTGCATTCCAGAAGAGCTTGAGGACAAGGAAGTCATTGTCAGCACCATTGCCTTCATGCACAAGGACAGGTTCTTGATGGTGTTCGACAGCCAGGTCTACGTGTATTTCAAGAGCAGGTCCCATCAGCAGGAGTCACATCTGCCACGTCCAAACTCTCAAACACCCATTGCTGCTATACAGGAGCAGATCCCCAGTGCAAGGAGCTCAGCCAGACCTTTTCTGCTTACGACACCAGGTGCTCAGTCTCCGACAGCCACATCTTCCTTTCGCAGGATGGGGGTCACACAGGTGCACGTGTTGAGATTGGTACGAGAGACCAAGGAGTGCTGCTCAGGGTCTACAATTTCATCTCCTTTGCTGAGACCGGCCTCCAGATCAACAGAAGCGGAGAGGATGTGGCAGGGAAGGGGGAAGGTGCCTATTTCAGATACAAGCTTGCATGCTTTCACTAGGTTTTCCCAAATGACAGCAACCATCTTTTAAAAAGCCAAATTGTGGTCCTCTTGGTTCAAAATAACAGCAGTTGGGTTCATTCCCTCGGTAATTACTCTGCCTACAGGCACCATCTGGTCATCATCCTTATTTTTCACGACAGTGAAGGCCCTCAGTTTTCACTTGGAAAGCTCTGTCCAGCTCTGCTCCTCTCTTCCTCCTTCCCCTCCCAGCAGCTGTTTCCCATTGCTCTTTCATGAGACATACTCAGCCCGTTCCCTCTGTGCACTCTCTACATTCCCTCTTTAACTCCTCATGGCACGCAGCTTTCTCAGCACCCTTGTCAAATGGTGTCATATACAACTTACACTGAATTTATGTACCATTCAGGCACCTACTCACTTCTATTACCTCCAGGTGCCATTCTTCTCTAATATTCTTAAGCAGCTTTATTTACACTTTGGAGACGTGACAGTTCCTACAAGCAGAACACCACTAGATACTGCCTGAAGTCATGCATACTAATGGATGTATACAACTTCTGTAAGCAAATGACAAATATATGGAGTATTAGTCATCCTACATCAATGTGCAGATGAAAACTAAATGAGTAAGATTTCTGCTGCTTTATAGAAGAAACAGAACAGGCAGGCTGAATTACTACAGAAAGTAGAAGGAGCATGTAAACAATTTAGCTGCTATACTTATGTCACAAACTTTGCATGCTTTCTGTAACACATTCACAGCCTACTGAAGACACCATAAAACCTTATTACTCCAGATTTGCATTGCACAAAATAGTAATCTGCTAGCGCAGCATTTCACCAATTTTTGGCAAAGCAGCCCAGAACCACCTGAATTCCCATAGCACAGGATGGAGCAGTGCATGCCCTGAGGTATGAAAGTGATGGCATAATTCACCTCATTTCAGGAGCAAGTTTGTTGGTACCACAGCTCAAATAAAAAGCCCCTCCTCTTTTTTTTTAAGTCTACTACTGTATGGAACTATTTCTGTTTTATGTAATACAAGATGGGATTATTTCCAAATTCCCCCCCATCCTCAGAATGAAACTGGACGTTTTACTTTGCACCAAAACCCCAGTTTTCACCAAAAACCCAGTAGCAAGTTTCATGGTTTTATGTTACAGAAGTAGTAAATAATGAAGCTTCACTAGAGTCCTAAAAACAACAAAGATTCCTTGGATCTAATAATTTTTGAGGGCTTTTTCTAGCTATCTTAAAGTAAGACATGGTATTTTGATCTACTCCAAGCTGTAACATTGCTGTGACAGATGCATTAGGGTGCTTTTGCACCTAACAGCACACTCACAGGATTCTTCCGAAGCAGTATTGTTCTGCAAGTAGCAGAGTTTCAGCCTTTGCAGAGATACTTATTTGCTCAATAGCAAGACCAGATTAATTTTCATTTCAGTACAACTGTTTTTCATCATCTCTGTGGCTCCACACGTGGGCACACAGTTTTCCGTGTGAGAATTCATTAAGGAGCCAGGCTTAGCTCTATCTCCATGCTAGCTCCTCTCCTAAGTAATCACATAGTAAACTTCTGTTTCGACACATCAATGATTACGTTTCACTCTTTTGAACAGCTCCATGCTTTTTATACAGAAATATAGCACATTAATGGTTACAAAATAATCATTCCTTGGACACAGCAGAACAGCAGTCTTCTGTTAACAGTATGCCAAACTTTAGAAGTTAGAATCACAGATACTGCTTTTCAGTAAATGGTCTTAGAATATTCTATGACAAGTTAAAAACTTCAGTATTTTTGGAATCATCATGTAAGGAAAGACCATAAAGGGGAAATTTCACTTAAGTGTGAAGAAAAAACAAGTTTGGTTTGTTTGGGTTTGTCAGGGTTTCTTACCTACATGATACTGTGTCTATAGCATAATCAAAGTCTGGCTTATTTGTAGGGTCAACAGCCCATACTGCTGAGCTTTGCAGAACTCTTTGGGAACACTTGGTACACACACAAAAACCTCATGTCTAGATACACAGACATAGATGAAACATCTCAAAACTGCATGCCGAAGAGGCTGCTAATTTTATCCGTGCTGAATAGAATATTACTGCAGCTCTTTAAGTCTCCTGCCACATCATTAGCTCACCATAATCCTATAAGCATTCTCAGAAACATGAAGAAGGGTCCATCTAAACACAGTATTTCCTTCAAGCCAAACTACATAATGTGCATTATTAGAGTTTTTTACCTAAAGTAGCCCTAAGGGACATGGCAAGTGTTGGTTTACTTAATCTAAGAGTTAGGATCACTGACAAGTAATACACCAGGCAACAGGACAGCACAGCCTGGTCGTTTCAGTAGTTAGTCAAGCCTGCAGCAAGCCTGCTCTTTACAGCCGTGCAACTTCAAAATTGCAGGAGATACCACTTCTTACCAGTTTCTTCTGACAGGCTGAAAAGCAGTTAAACTTCTGACCCCTATCTCACAAAACTCTTGTGGAAACATCCTCTATCAGAATAATGTGACTTGTGCCACCTGGGTATTTGAGTAAGTCTTAAACATACACCAACCGTGACTTAGAACATTGTGGCCTACATCTGGATAGCTGAATGGCATCAATGACGACTCTTACGGTTGGACTTGATGATCTTGAGGTCTCTTCCAACCATAATGATTCTATGAGTCTATGATTCTCT